TGGGTAGTGTCAGTCTCTCAGGCAACGTATTAGGTCGCCCGAAATGGATGCGAAGAACATGGATACGATGCCCAACAGTAAATGTTGTCCTCCAAAACCGATTGCGGCCGCTGTTGGCAGACGGCATTTTGTCTCAAATGGACAACGACCGCGGCAACGCCGACAACGAACCTCGTTCAGAATGAACAGAAACTGCTGTTGGACTTTGTACCCATGGTCTCCGTACCCATTTCGATCGTCCCGAACAAAGGATGGGGTAACCATTGTTCAACTTGAACTGTTTAGGTCTTCAACCGTGGGTCTGCTTGAAGGTCCTCTCCAGATCTTCGAGCCTGACGGATGGGAAAACCATCCTTCAACTTGGATGTTTGTTGGACCCTGTATCCCAACGGTAAATTACCGGCTCCGAGGGGAAGAAGGAGGAGGAGGAAAAGGAAGAGATGGAAGACGACAACGACGACGACGAGGAAGAGAAACAACACCAGGAGCGCGAGGAGGACGACGATAAGGCCCGCGAGGACGAGCACGAAGAAGAGGAGGGGGAGGAGCGGGATGACGACGAGAAGGAGGAGGACGGGGAGAAGGAGGAGGGGAGGTCTGTCTCTGACGGTCCCAGGGCCCCGTGATAGGTTTGCGTGTTTTCCCCACATGCTTCGTGGGGTTCTGGTTTTCTTCCCTGCCGCGTCGCACCCGCGTCTCCTCACCGCCCCTCCTCCTCTGCATTCCTCTCCTCAACCCGCGGTCAACACATGCACGGCAAGTACATGAGACACGCGTCTACATACAGCCGCACGCATGCACACACTCGCACACACAAAACGCATGTTCACTGCATCATACACCCAAGACGTCTGCACAATCCGTGGGGGTCGTCCAGGGCACAGCAGGCATGGCATATTCTCGACACCATAGGGGGTGCGCAGGGGGTGGTTTCTCACCGCGGCCGCTATCCGTGACGGTCGTCCAGGGCACAGCAGGCATGGCGTATTCTCGACACCAGAGGGGGTGCGCAGGGGGTGGTTTCTCACCGCGGCTGCTACCCGCGTCGGTCGTCCAAGGCACAGCAGGCATGGCATATTCTCGACACCATAGGGAGTGCGCAGGGGGTGGTCTCTCACCGCGGCCGCTATCCGTGACGGTCGTCCAGGGCACAGCAGCATGGCATATTCTCGACACCACTGGGGGGTGCGCAAGGGGGTGGTCTCTCACCGCGGCCGCTATCCCGGTCGTCCCAGGGCGCAGCAGGCATGGCATATTCTCGACACCATAAGGGGTGCGCAGGGGGTGGTCTCTCACCGCGGCCGCTATCCGTGACGGTCGTCCAGGGCACAGCAGACATTGCATATTCTCGACACCAGAAGGGGGTGCGCAAGGGGTGGTCTCTCACCGCGGCCGCTATCCGTGACGGTCGTCCAGTGCACAGCAAGCATGGCATATTCTCGATACCAGACGGGGTGCGCAGGGGGTGGTCTCTCACCGCGCCGCTATCCGTGACGGTCGTCCAGGGCGCAGCAGGCATGGCATGTTCTCGCACCATAAGGGGGTGCGCAGGGGTGGTCTCTCACCGCGGCCGCTATCCGTGACGGTCGTCCGGGGCAGAGCAGGCATGGCATATTCTCGACACCATATGGGGTGCGCAGGGGGTGGTCTCTCAGCGCGGCCTCTATCCGTGACGGTCGTCCAGGGCACAGCAGGCATGGCATATTCTCGACACAGGAGTGCGCAGGGGGTGGTCTCTCACCGCGGCCGCTATCCGTGACAGTCGTCCAGGGCACAACAGGCATGGCATATTCTCGACACCGTAGGGGGTGCGCAGGGGGTGGTCTCTTACCGCGGCCGCTATCCGTGACGGTCGTCCAGGGCACAGCAGGCATGGCATATTCTCGACACCATAGGGGGTGCGCACGGGGTGGTCTCTCACCGCGGCCGCTATCCGTGACGGTCGTCCAGGGCACAGCAGGCATGGCATATTCTCGACACCATGGGGGGTGCGCAGGGGGTGGTCTCTCACCGCGGCATTATCCGTGACGGTCGTCCAGGGCACAGCAGGCATGGCATATTCTCGACACCATAGGGGGTGCGCAGGGGGTGGTCTCTCACCGCGGCCGCTATCCGTGACGGTCGTCCAGGGCACAGCAGGCATGGCATATTCTCGACACCATAGGGGGTGCGCAGGGGGTGGTCTCTCACCGCGGCCGCTATCCGTGACGGTCGTCCAGGGCACAGCAGGCATGGCATATTCTCGACACCATAGGGGGTGCGCAGGGGGTGGTCTCTCACCGCGGCCGCTACTCGTGACGGTCGTCCAGGGCACAGCAGGCATGGCAATTCTCGACACCATAGGGGGTGCGCAAGGGGTGGTCTCTCACCGCGGCCGCTATCCGTGACGGTCGCCCAGGGCACAGCAGGCATGGCATATTCTCGACACCAGAGGGGGTGCGCAGGGGGTGGTCCCTCACCGCGGCCGCTATCCGTGACGGTCGTCCAGGGCACAGCAGGCATGGCATATTCTCGACACCAAAAGGGGGTGCGCAGGGGGTGGTCTCTCACCGCGGCCGCTATCCGTGACGGTCGTCCAAGGCGCAGCGGTATCGGCGGGGCAACGGCCACCAACATCATTCTCACATGCTTCACTTCAGCTCTCATCACTCCAGCCATAATACAAGTATGTGGGGTTCCTCGGTAGCGTAATTGTTATTGATTTCCTCCTTCTCGTCGTCTTTGTCGTCGTCGTCCTCGTCGTCGTTGTCCCGCCCTTGGCGTCGCCGCAACTGGGGCTGGAACCGAAAGCACTACATCGTCAAGTCTGACTGCGTCGGGAAGGGAGGTGAGCGGGGAGGGAACATCAACAGCCATTTTAGTTCTTATGGCCCAAAGCATCGTAAGGCGCTGGGGCATAAGAACTTTCCGCCTCGAGCAGCTGAGAAAACAGTTTTCTCTGGTCCGGAAGAGAGGGAGACAGAACCAGGATGGGCAGAACCCCCTTTAGCAGAACGCCCTTCAGTGAAAGCTTCCAGGGGCACTCCACGTGCGCACGGCCCCGCGGTACGAGTGCACCCAAGCGGAGCAACTGACACCGACGTCCAAAAACAACCGAACGCGTCCTGCGAATCGCACGTCGAGTAGCGAAAACGACTGGGGGCTGCACAGAGGCCGCTCAAATGCCATCGTCGGTGGAACCGGTGCGAATTCCTGAGTCGGCTCGCCTGGGTGGGCGTTCTCTCAGTGCCTGGGAGTGTTCCTGCCTGCTCCACCGCCACCTCCTCCTCCTCCTGCTCCTCCTCCCCCTCCTTCCACTTCCCTTTTTCCTCCTCCTCCTCCACCTCCTCCTGTCCTTCCTCCTCCTCCTCCTCCTCCTCCTCCTCCTCCTCCTCCTCCTCCTCCTCCTCCTCCTCCCTCGCCCGACAGGGAGACAGATGGAGAGAAAATGAATACCTGAGGCTCGTGCGTTCGTGCGGCGTTGCCGCGCGCGAAGGTCTTTGGCCACGCGTCGATCGTTCAACGTTGAACCGATCGCGGCCCCGATCGTTCGAGGCTGAATTCCGTCGGGTCCAATGCCGTTGCCGTGTCCCTCGGTGCTTCCGCGTCAAAGACTTCAACCTTGGACGCCTTCGCAGGCGCCGCCGGCGCGCACCCGCCGCATGCGCCTACCACAACCCGGGTAGTCTAGCAGACGCCCAGGGAGCATGACGTCACGTGCCGCCAATCGGCACGCTGACTCTGGAGCGGCGGCGGCCTCTTCAAGGCGGAAGCCCGCGCTGCCTTGCCTGGCTCGCCACAGGGCGGCCACAGATCCCTCGGGTTCTGTTTTGACAGCCTCCGCAATGCCCACCCTGTCACTTTTTTCTCACAGGAGAGCCTCGATGAGGAATACTGCAATCATCCCAGATGATGGGATAAGGACTCCACCATGGAGGGCAGAGGGCCAATGCGGAACGAAGAAGGCCGAAACGAGGAATAAGAAGAAGAAGAAGAAGAACAGCAAGAAGGACAGATGGAGGAGTCGAGAGGAGGAGACGCACTGAATGCCGCCGCGTGTTCTCCAATTCCTTGTTGCAACGGTGATCTCATAACCGACTTCTCTTGAGCAGTACTTGGCGAGATAGGTAGCCGGAAATGGGCAGCATGAGGAAGTGCAGGATGATGAGGAGAGGAGTGAGGCGGCGGAGAGGGAGGAGGAGGAGGAGGAGGAGGAGGAGGAGGAGGAGGAGGAGGAGGAGGAGGAGGAGGAGAAGGTGGCGGGAGGACGATTAGGGGCACAGGGAGTGGAGGCGCGGTGGACAAAGAAATGTGTACCTATGAAGATTGAGGGAGGACGATGCAAGGGGAGACCTAGCGTGATGCTGAGGATGGAGGAAAAAGGGGGAGACAGCGCAGGTCGCAGGACTACACACAGCCAAGGCGATGAACGCATAAGAGCCGCTCCACTCTTTCTCCCTCTTTCTTCTGTACCCCCCGCTTCCCCGTCCGTTCCCCCTGCCCTCCCCTTTACTTTCCTGGCCCTCTCCTTCCGTCTCTCTGTTCGCTCCTCTCTCTCTCTCTCTCTCTCTATGTCTCTCGCTTTCGCCCTCGCCATCCCATCCCTCTCCGTCTCCATACTCCTGCTCCTGCGCACCCAGAAGACCCCCCACGACATGATGTTTTGGCAGCGTGGACCTCGAGAGGTCGAGACCCCTTCCCAAAGACTTGTTTTGTTCATCCCGAGTCGCCTTGTGACACTCCCGGGGCCCAGGGAGGGCCCCGCGAACCCGAAACTAGCCAAGCACCTTCCGCCGTGATTCTTGGCACGACGCGCGGGGGTTTGGGTCTCCATCCTCCTGCTCCTGCTCCTGCTCCTGCTCCACCTCCTCCCCTTCCGTCCCCTCCTTCTCCTCCTCTTCCTCCTCCTCCTCCTCCTCCTCCTCCTCCTCCTCCTCCTCCTCCTGCTCCTCCTCCTACCCCTCCCTCGCCCGACCTTTGCCCGGGCGGATCGAGCAGGGCGGGGGGGGGCGTGGAGGCGCCAGAGGCCGCGCTTCGTGTTGCAGCGCAGCTCCTCCTTCCGGCAAGCCGCCACCTCGCGGCGAGGAGGGAGCAGGAAGAAGGAGGAGGAGGAGGAGGAGGAGGAGGAGGAGGAGGAGGAGGAGGGGAGGGGTAAGGAGGAGGAGGAGGAGGAGGAGGAGGAGGCGGAGGAGAGGAGGAGGAGGAGGAAGGAGGAGGAGGAGGAGAGAGGAGGAGGAGGAGGAGGAGCGAGGAGGGCGGAGGAGGAGGAGGAGGAGGAGGAGGAGCGGAGGAGGAGGAGGAGGAGGGCGGAGTAGGTCGGAGGAGGAACGAGGAGGGCGGAGGAGAAGGGAGGAGTAGAGGAGAGGAGGAGAAGGAGGGCGAAGGAGGAGGAGGAGGAGGGCGGAGGAGGGAGGAGGAGGAGGAGGGGGAGGAGGTCGAGGAGGAGGTAGGGGGGGAGGAGGAGGAGGGGAGGGGAGGAGGAGGAGGAGGAGGAGGAGGAGGAGGAGGAGGAGGAGGAGGAGGAGGAGGAGGAGGAGAGGAGGAGGAGGTGAGGAGAGGAGGCGGAGGAGGAGGAGGAGGAGGAGGAGGAGGAGGAGCAGGAGGAGGGAGGAGGAATTCGCTGGAATTCGCTGATATCACCGGGGTGGCAGCGAGTTCAGCGAGCAACAGGCGGCGGGCCACGGAGGGCAGCCTCGCGCCTGACAGTTCCCAGCTCTCGTGCCTGGGACGTCTTCGACGGCCCAGCGTGGCTGGGAAACAGTCCCTGTTGAATTCGTTGAAGGTTCTCAAGACCTTTCTTGGTGCGGTCTTTGCATTCGGCCACTAAATGACGTGGGTCCTCCGTGGCCGTTTTTACCACACGTCAAACAAACATGTAGCCCAAACTTGGGCCAGAAATGCAAATTCTGTGAGGAGTGACAGACCTTCCCCCCAACAGTCACCGCCCCACCAGCCCGCACCACCCCATGATCGGCGAGCCCTGAAAGGTCAGGGCTCGCCGCCTGACACTGCGTCGCCGCAAAGGCTGCAACATCGTGCACGGGGGCAACTTGGTGACACAACGAGCACAGCCATTTACGTTCGGCCCTGACCAAACAGTGCTCGCTCTTAAGAAGGGCCTCAGAGAGGCCAACCACACGACGGGCCTCGGGAGGCCGCTCGGCGGACCACGGGGCCACACTGATGGAATCCACCATAGCCTTCGCCGCTCGTCGCCTAACCAGCGACGCCGTGCAATCCCAGGGATCAGTGTCTGGGGGCCTTTGGCCCTGGAGGCCGTGGGTCCAGGAAAACTTGGCCGCTTCTCCAGCGAGAACGTCGGCAAACCCATTGCCCGTGGCGAAAAGCCGCTCCTGAGGGGAGAAGGCGGGGTCCTCAGGGTCAACGTGCGACGGGCACCACGCCACCTGGACTTCACCCTCTCCCCTCTCGGCGAGGGCGGCGCGGACGCGGAACCAGAGGTCAGAGTTGGGGCCTTTACGCTGCTCATGCCTTCTGGAGTGCCACCCTCGGTGGAGGGCCGCGTTGCCCGTGACAAAACGCAGCGGGCCTGGAAATCGGCGAAGCGCAAGCTCAAGCGCTCGGATCTCGGCTCTGGGCACCGTTTGGCGGCGACCCCCAAGGGTCGAGGCAAAGCCGCGGGCCCGAGTCCAGCCTCCAGAGGCTGGCGCCAACGAAATCGCAGCCGCGCCCACCCTTCGGCGACGAGGGTCGCTGCTAAATTGCCCTCCCGAGCCGTCGCCGAAAACGAGCAGCATGCCATCCTCTCTACAGTCGAGGAGGTCCGAGTGCTCTCCATCCACCCCCCACTCCACGTCCCCCCCCCCGTCACGAAAGTCAGGACACGTGAAAGAGCGAGGCGGGAGCCCGCGCAGCCAGAGACTCGGGTTGGCCTCGTGGCCTGCACGGGCCTGAGCAACTAAAAACTCGGATTTTTCATCGGCGGGGTCATCCGTGTTGCAGGGGCACTCCCAACTACGGTGGAAAAGGGTCTCCCCTGGGGCCCCGCAGCGCGGACATTTCAAGGACACAATATATCCTCGATCTCGCTGCCTCTGATGAGGCCACTGGCCTCCAACGGCAACTGTGACCATCTGACCGATCTGATCGAATCCATCACGTTTCAGGAACCGCTGGAGCTGAGAACGGATGGCAGTCACGTCGGCACCTGAGACGAGGTCACCCCCGTGCTCGTGCTTAGCCGCCTGCTGCCACAGCTGAGCTTTGAGGTCCTCAGCAAAATCGCCAACTAACTCAGCAATATCGAAATCTCCAGCGACTCGATCGGCCGCGATGTCAGGAAACTGTCAGGTTTCAAACGTAACGGCCCCGATGGGCCTGCGCCATTCGGTGGGAGAGATGGGCCTCCAACCTCCGTCTCTCAGGGTGGCGATGATGGCCCCGATAGGCCCTCGGACTTTCCGCCACCTAAACTTGGGGACGCGCCCGAGGCGCGCGGCCACCAATGGCCGAGCTTTCACGATGCGAGGGTGGAGGGAGGGGCACTTGTCCCAGAGGTCGAGCCAGGAGCGGACCAGCTGGGTCCGCAAACTGATTCCAGGGTCCTTTTCCCCAAACCAGATCGCCAGAGTGGTGGTGAGGCAGCGCCCTGGGCCCTTGCCCGCGACAGCTTGGGCCGCCTGCCTCCGCAACAGGAGGATGGAGGAAGGGGGGAGCCCCATTGCCTGGTGCCCATGCACCGACTGGGGCAACGCCCCCTGAAGCCACAGTCCTTGGGGCTCCTTGGCAAGAGAAGCGTGCCTGCGAAGCTTATTAGTGCGAGCGCCTCTGGAGCGGCCCTTGCTCAGTCGCTGGTTGAGCTTCACGCGCGACCGACGCGACCCCCCCGCAACGTCACGCCCCAAATCCACCGCAATTTTAACGAGCGAGGCCGGCATCCCCAGACGGTTGATTTGGGTCAAAAACTCGGGGCCCAGCCTGGGAGTGTTGACCACAAGCTTGGTCTTGGAAGATATCGGGAGCTCCTGGTCAGCAAATGACCGCACAAACGAGTCAGCGAGCCCCGACATCTGGCCAGAAACATCGGCCCATCTCCCTTCGGACCGAGCAACCGTATCATCTACGAACGTCCAGATGGCAGAAGAGGCCTTGGCCTGACTCACGGCCAGCACCCTGTGGGCCTCCTCCATGATAGGTCCCAGGAAGAGTTTGGCCAGCGAAACTCCCTTGGAGGACCCCGCGACCAGGGACCGAGTCGGGAACGCAAATTCGCTGGCCATGGCCCGAAATTTCAAAACCCGCGGAGCCAAAAACATCTGGACTTCCAAAAGATCTACAACGACAGGATAAGACTGAACTAACGCGATCTGCATCAGCTTCAGAAGAGAGATGTTGTCGTAAAATTTCTCTAAACCGAGCAAAAGCACAGCCACAGAGAAGCCCAGCTCATGGGCGGCCTCGTCCATGACGGACCGCTGCAGGGCGGCTCTCAAGGCCGACGAGTACCGCACCGCGGTGTCCCAGAAGTCGCTCCTGCTGTCGGCCCAGCTGTCGGTGGCAGACGAGCGTGCACGTGACCACATTCCCACGATCTTCGGCAGGACGCCGATGATGCGCTCGCCGCCAGCAGGCTTCGGCATCGTGGCGCACATCGTCAGCAGCAACTGTAACGGCCATGAGCCAACCTCCTCCGCAGCGTTGAGGATGGCGACCACCTCGAGCTTGGCGGCCAGCGGTAGCCTCTGCAGATCTGTCGGCCCGAGGGCGTCAACGCCTTTGGCCTTGGAGCTCGGTAGTTTGCTCCACAGCGGCTCCAAGTCATCAGTAGTGAGCGGCGGCAGAGCCTCGATCGTGCTCTGCGTGTGGAGTAGCTCCATCGTGTCCAGGATTGCGTCGTGGGACGCGTTGTTGTCGGTCCAGATGGGGGCCCACCTCTCCACCTTCTGAGCCATGATCAATTGCGGATCTGACGTAGCTCCAGGCGGCAACGCACACTCCACCTCCAGGACCTCCAAGTGGCCTGGGTCCTTCACGTGCTGGTGAATGAACCGCGGCTTGTGGGCCCACATGTCCTTGGCCCACCTGACATACGCCTGAGACGCCGCG